TCAAGAAGAATGACCCTGCATTCATCATTAAAAAAATACAATGCTGTCTGTGATAGCATTATATCTATCCTCATTCAAGAAAATACAACGAATGTAATTATTATTAAATTTTATGCACCAACTATTAAAGCTAGTGAGGAAGAAATTGAAGAATTCTACCAATGTCTTCTGTCTGAAATTGATAAAAAATGCAGTCAAGATGCATTGATACTATTAGAGGTTGAAATTCAAAAATTGGAAACAAAGAGGAGCTACAGTAATTTGAAAATATGATCTTGGTGATAGAAAAAATAATACAGAGATCGCATAAACATATTTTTTAAGACCAAAGACTTGTTTATAGCAAATATTGCTTTTGAACACATGGACTTCTCCAGATAGAATACATAGAAATCAAATGGACTACATCTATGGAGAAAAAATAAGGGAGAAGCTCAATGTCAGCAGCTAAAATGAGGCCAGCAGCTGACTGTGGAACAGACTACTAATTGCTCATATGTAAGCTCATGATGAAGCTGAAGAAAATTAAAACAAGTCCATGTGAGCCAAAATACAATCATGAGTCTATCCCATCTGAATTTTAAGAACATCTGAAGAACAGATTTGATGCATCAAACACTAATAACAGAAGACAATATCATTGGATGAAGAAAGCAAAAGGTCATTAACAACACGGGCAAGAAGGAAAAGAGCAGTGTGGATGTCAGAAGAAAGTCTGAAACTTGCAACTAATCAAAGAGTAGCTAAGACACATGGAATAAATGAAATCAAATAGCTAACAGAACCTTTTCTAAGGTCAACTTAATAAGACCAACCAAATATTATAATGAAATGTGCAAAGACCTAGAGTTTGAAAATCAAAAAGGAAGAACATGCTCAACATATCTGAAATTGAGAGAACTCAAGAAAGAATTCAACCCTTGAGTTGCCATATTGAAAGATTCGATGGGCAAAATGTTGAATGATGCAGGAAGCACCAAAAGAAGATGATGGAAAGAAGACAAAGAGTCACTGTACCAAAAAGAACTAATCCATATTCCACTGTTTCAGAAAGTAGCATATCAGCAAGAACCAGTGGCATTGAAGGAAGAAGCCTAATCTGCATTGGAAGCATTAGCAAAACCCAAACTTCTAGGAATTGCTGGAAAATCATTGACATGTTTCAACAAGCTGAAAAAGCACTGGAAGCATTCACTTGTCTATGCCAGGAAATTTGGAAGACAGCTACTTGGCCAACTAACTGGAAGACAGCCAGATCTGTATCCATTACAACAAAAGGTGACCCAGCAGAATACTCAATGTCATTAATAGCACATATAAATAAAATATTGCTAAAGATCATCCAACAATAGTTGCGTTAGACCTTAGCAGGGAAATTTCAGAGGTTCAGGCCAGAAACAAAAGAGGTAATAGAACAAAGGCTATCATTGCTGATGTCAGATGGATCTTGACTGAAAGCAGAAAATACCAGAAAGATTTTTACTTGTGTTCTATTGACTATACCAAGGCATTCGACTGTGTGAATCTTGACAAACTATGAATAGCCTTGAGAAGAATGATAATTCCAGAACATCTACCGTAATTGTGCTCATGAGGTACCTGGACATGGAGCAAGGGATAGTTGTACACACAGAACAAAATAATGCTGCATGATTTAAAATCAGGAAAGGTGTATGTCAGGGTTGTATCCCATTAACATATGTATTCAGTCTGTATGCTGAGCAAATAATCAGAGAATCTAGCTTATATGAAGAAGAATGTGACATCAGGATTGGATGTCACTTATTAACAACCTGTAAAATACATATGACACAACTTTGCTTACTGAAAGTGAGGAGAAAATTAAGCACTTGCTGATGAAGATCAAGGACTACAGCCTTCAGTGTGGCTTACAACTCAATGTAAAGAAGACCAAAACCCTCACCACTGGGTTAACATGATAAACAGAGAAACGATTGTCAAGCATTTTGTCTTGCTTGGACCCACAGATAATGCTCATAGAAGCAGCAGTGAAGAGATCAAATGATGTGATGCATTGGGTACATCTGCTATAAGACTTTTTTAAAGTATTGAAAAGCAAGGATGTTCCTTTGAGGAGTAAGGTGTGCCTGACCCAAGTCGTGGTATTTTCAGTTGCCTCATATACATGTGAAAGCTGGACGTTGAATAAGGAAGATCTAAGAAGAATCTATATATTTGAATTATGTATTGAAGGTACCACAGGCCACTAAAAAGACAAACAAATCTGTCTAGTAAGAAGCACAGCCAGAATGCTCCTTAGAGGCAAGGATGGTAAGACCTCAACTCATGAACTTTGGATGTGTCATCGGGAGAGACCAGTCCTTGGAGAATGAGATCATACTTGGTTAAGTAAAGGGTCAATGGAAAAGAGGAAGGCTCACGACAAGATGAATTGACCCAGTGGCTGCAACAATGGGCTCACATATAAGAGCAATTGCGAGGGTGGCCCAGGACCCAGCAGTGTTTTGTTGTGCTTGACATAGGTTCACTAAGAGTAGGAACCAACTCCCTGGCACCTAACAACAGAGTAGTTGTTAAAGGGGGCAAACGACTGATCTGCTGTGACAAACCCAGAGGACAGTTTGCTGCCTTAGATATGGTCTAGGTCAAGTCCATACCTGTAGCTGGAACATTCATTTGTAGGAAACACACGCTTCTGGATCAAGAGCAGAAAACTCCAAAAAACCAAACTCACTGCTTTTGAATCAATTCCAACTCATAGCAACCTTGCAGGACAGAGGAGAACTGCCCTGAACCACTGACCTTTTGGTTAGCAACCCAGCGCATAACCCACGATGTCACCACGGCTCTAATAAGAATCAATAAAAAGGAGCAGAATATAGAAAAGAACTGCAAAAAAGGTCTAAAAAGGAAAGAAAACTGGGTTGGAAATATTTTCACTTCTTAATGTTGGATGGATAATGCCATCATTAATGAAAGAAAACCAGGTAGTAAGAGAAGTTTGGGAGAGAGTTAGTAATGTTTAATTTTAACTTACAAGATAAGTATTAAAACATACCTGGCACACAGGATTGACGGAAGGAAGGGAGGCAGGCAGGCAGGCAGGCAGGCAGGGAGGAAGTTCCTCTGAGGCAGAACTAGAAATATGAGTTTCCCATACTTAGGTTGCTATGTGCTGTTGAGAACTTACAGGTTGTCCCAAGCTGTAACCTTTACAAGAGCAGACTGCGACCTCTCTCTCCCACAGAGCAGCACGTGGCTGTTGGATCCACTGGCTCATTGTGCCACCTGGGCTCCTTCACGTACTTACACAGAGGTCATAATGATCGAACTTCCTCTTAAAGTTTTCTTGGGTTTATCTGCCCAACTCTTCTAGTTTTTATATTTTAAATCCTCCGAGATAATATTCGTCATGTGGTGCCTGGCTAAATAGGCCTACCCTTATGATCTGGCAGTGGGTTTCGATTTTTGATGTTGTTTTTAATATCTTTTTCAAACTCCAGCATAATTTCTTTGACCATCTCCTGATCTCTACTTAGGTTTTACATTAGAATTTATACTTATATTATACTTGGAATTTTTATTCCCTCAAGGTAAAGGACCTTTTTAACCCAAATGAGTACCTGCTTTAATGCTTGTTGTAATGCGTAGGGACGTTCCCAGAGTGTGTTTCATATCCAGATAAGTTTGGGACACACTGAGTTAAACTAATAAACAAGGACTTCCTGCAGTAAGTCTCCAGGTGGAAGGATATACTGGGTTGCATTTGCTAAGCGTATGTGATGAGTTCTCATTCATGGTAACTGGTTACTGCCACTGCTTTGGAAGACAGCAGTAGAACTGTGTTTGTGGTTGGGAGGTATAACAGGTAAGTGGCAGGTTGTAGGTAGGGGTCGATCCCGCATGTCCAGGTGTTTCTTTATCAAAGTGAGCTGCATTTATAATGACATTATTCATGCCCTACTTTTGAAACCATAGAATTTCTATGAAAATTCCAGGATTTTATTATTACCAAACATGATTTGTTGGTAGAGATGGATTATGAACCATTTGTACACATTAGCCATGTAAAAATTGGGTATGCATAACTTGGGTATTCATAAAACTGCCTGTATATTAATAGATATTATTGTTGTAGTATTCTAAATACTATCATTGTAGTATTAGAATACATTGTAGTATTATAGATATTATAAGTACATTATGGTATTATAAATTTATAATTTGAAAACATGAGACTGTATTTCAATATGTTAAAAATACATTATTCTGCTAATAACTAGGATGATAGAGTAATGTTTGAAGACAATCTATTTAAATAGCTACAAACAGCATTAGAGTGTCATGCCTTAATTTTATTATCTCTTTATTTCTTTAAAACAAGAACAGGGAAGGCTTTCCTCTTAAAACTGAGTAACAAACTTTTTATATCAGCAGTGTTATTTTACCTATTCGACACTTTTAAAATCTTGAACTAGAATTATTTATTAACATCACAACCATATATTTAATTTTATTGGCATTAAAGAAGACATTCATATGTGCTAGAAGTCAGAAGTCATAGATGTCATAACAACATGGTGAATAATTCTGGACATCAAAGATTATTGTCTTGAATACATTATAAACTTATTTTTGCTTTAATTTTTACATCCCTTAATTTCTAATGAAACATAAACCATGCTTCTCAGAACCCTTATACAATAAGAATCTTGTGACCTTGTGGATCCTCAGAGGCTCCAGCTGTAACAGCCCTGTACTAACTGCATGTAAATGATGTGAAGGGATGCAAGCAGAGCATAATTGTTTTGTGACCACCCATAGTGCATGGGCCATAAAAATACCTTTAAAAAATTCATGTTGTATAAGGGAGCCTTCTTCGCAATTTAACTTGGTCCTTTTACTATATTTTCTTCTCTTTTTTTATTCTTTTCGTTTCTATTATTTTTAAAACTGCACCCAAGATGCCTTTGCAGCTTCTCCTGGGGAGGCCCCTGCAGCATCCGAAGGGGCCGCCGTACCAGCTACCCCAACCCCTGTAGCAGCAGCACTTGATGCATGTTCAGGAAATGGTGGGTTTACAGTCATGTGCCAGTCTGTTGTGTTTCTGCCCTAATGTGAGCCCCGTAGTTAGATGTGACCACATGTTTTTCTAATTTTAATTTCTTCTGAGTATAAAGTGTCATTCATCATAACTGAACAAATAATGCCAGCACTTGAAACATTAAGATGACAATGAGCAATACTTATCAAAATTGACAATTTCTCAAGATTGACAATTTTTGTCAGTGCAAGTATGCTCTCTTAATGTTTTTTCCTTCTCTCTAATGCTATATATTGCACTCTTTTGTAAGACTGAGGACAAATATATGGGCATGTTATAATGGATTTTCAAAACCATCTAACTGACCTGATTAAACAAAAATCTCTGATCCTAGACCCTAGGATAAATTTCAGTACGTTGAAGTCTTTCAGTTTCTTAACTTGTGGTACCAATTCGGTTTTCTTTTTCTTTAGAGAAACATTCCCTGACCCTGACTAATACTAGCCTAGTGGATAAGTCAAGCCGTCTGATGCCTAGCTAAGGTGTTACTATCTGTGTTAGGTGTCTCTTGCCTGTAGTTATGACAACTCGCTCTTGTCTTTCTTTACTGATGCTATATGTGTCTCCGCTTCCTTTCTGAAGACCCCTTTGCCCCGTCTGAAGGTAGTGCAGAGGCTGCACCTGAGCTGGACCTCTTTGCAATGAAGCCTCCTGAGACCAGTGTTCCTGTAGTTACCCCTACAGCTAGCACAGCCCCTCCGGTTCCCGCAACCGCTCCTTCTCCTGCTCCTGCCGTTGCAGCGGCCACTGCTGTCACTACTGCTGCCGCCACCACTGCCACCACCTCCGCCACAGCCACCACCACTGCTGCTCCTGCTCTAGATATCTTTGGTGGTAATTTTTTGTTGTTGTTATTGCTTAACTCTTCCCACCTGATGGATTGAATTCTGGTTCTGCAAGTAATACCGCACACACAGCTGTTATGCATGAACACTGTGTAATTCAGTGGCTCTTTCGAAACCATTGGATGCTTACTTCCAAATCCACCAAAGTACCAGTTCAGTGTGCTCAAGAGCGATGCTGTTTCAGGGTTTCTTGTCGTCAAGTGGAGTAAAAGCCTGTGTGTTCTTGGTCTTAGATCTATTTGAGTCGGCCCCGGAAGCCCCTGCAGCGCCTAAGCCGGATGCTGCTGCTCCTAGCATAGACTTGTTTGGTACAGGTAATAAAACCCACACAACCTTCTTCCATCAGATCATCTCTTGGGATATTGTCACGATTCAGCTCTTTATCCTCACCCGTGATAATGCATTTGTTAGAGTTTTGACTCTGATTTCAGCTTTCTACTGACTTCTGCTTGGTTTTGGTTTGTTTCCCTTTCGGAAGATGCTTTCTCCTCTCCACCGCAAGGGGCCTCTCCTGTGCCTGAGAGCTCTCTCACTGCAGACCTCTTATCCGGTGAGTGCTTGCTTTCCCCACTGTCGCCTTTGGAGATGTCTGCTGAGGGGTATGTGAAGAGAGGCAGAGATTAACAAATGTGCATTTGCCTTGAGCGCTTTAAAACTCAACATTTATTTATTTCGTTTTAATCTCATTCTTTAGCCCAAGCCCAACTGGTGATGGTTCATATTTTCTACTCTAAAGCTGATGAATTGAGAGAATTTCTTTTTCATACTAAACCTCTGGCCTTAAGCAGTCAGATATTGTTTTCTTCTGGAAAGGCGTGTGTTTAAATACACATTTATGCTCTCTTAACTGCAAAGATTGTCTGGAATGTCATTAGGAGTATACATCAGAAATTGCCACTTGTCCGCGCTCACGGTTTTATCGTGTGGGGTGACGTGCCATTTCTCCTGTCTGTGCTCCGCTGCAGTGGATGCATTTACAGCACCATCTCCTGCAACCACTGCCTCTCCGGCAAAGGTGGACTCTTCAGGTGTGATAGACCTATTTGGGGGTGCGTATTTCTCTTCTTTCACCATGTAAGCCATCATTTTCCCCCCTTCAGAACGGATTTTAGATAGTGCATTATATTTCTTTTTTTTTCTCTTTTGAATACATGAAGCTATTTCATCTCTTCAATGTAAACTTAAGTTTGGAGATTTTTTTTGGCCATTTCTTTCCCATCATCATCTTCACCCTCATCAGCTCATCATCATTTTCAGTGCATGACCTCACTAAACCACAACATTTTTCGTTTTCAATCTTTTATATTTTCAACATTTTATGCATCCCACTATAGAAGAGACTCATGGGGATTTCTGCTCTTCATCCTCAGTGATCCCAGTCTGTAGGCTAAATCCATGTTTCTAAATTCTTAAAAAGAATATAAACAGAATTGAAACCAGCTGAGCCCTTAAAAGGGAAAGTGTAACCTGTAGATGTCACACATCATCTGTAAGGGTTAGGTGTATATGTTGAGTTCAGTGCTTAAAAACAAAAAATCTTTCCAGAGTAGTAGAAGATGTTTCGCTGATTTAAATGATTTCAGTTTCTCCCAGTATTTGTTACCTGAAGGGGGAGATGTACTGAATGGACCCTTGGAACGACTCATTCGGAATTCACATCTAGACTTTTCCAGTAGGCGTCCGTTTAGAGGAAAAGGTCCGAAGTGACTTCTTCATGAAAATCTATGATGTCTGTAGTTGGGAGGTGAAATTCTGTCCTTAGCATGTTCAGTCTACAGTGAGTTTCTACTGCACATTGAGGTACTGTAGGGCACAATGAGGGGTATGCAAATGCCACAGTCTGTAGTGCTAGGGTGCTCCAAACTTTGTGGCAAACAAACTTCCAACCTGGCATGTTCAAGTAAGGCTGCTGCATCTTGAATTAAATTCATAAATTGTTTAAAAGTTTAATAGAGTTCTAAATAGGAAAGTTCCATTTTATTGGACTTTGGCAAAGCAATTAAAGCCTTGATTCCAACAATACCACTATTCCATTTTTGACAGAGGACAGGACTTAGCCCTTCAGGTCTTAAAAAAAATTCTCTTAATCTTACAAAGAGGCATTCTTAAATATTTTACAAGAGGTCTTTGTATTGGTTTGTTTGTTTGTTTGTTTGTTTTGAGAGAGAGCGAGAGAGCATACATTGCTCTGAGCATGATTTAATTCCCTCAGTCATTTCACACATCCACACGAGACAGATTCCCTCTATACCATCATTTCTCTGCAGAGCACTTAATTACCCCCTGTATTTACTGTTGACACTCTCTTACTTTTTTGCTGCATAATGGATAACTGGATAGATGCGTTTGGAAGTAGTGCTTCTGAACCTCAACCTGCACCTCAGGCTGCTTCTAGTTCCTCAGCATCGGCAGACCTCCTGGCTGGTAATGAATTAAATTAAACTTAAATGACATTTTGTGGAAATTAACTTTGGACTCACTTTTATAACAGATGTTTACATAAATTATAAGTTACATGTTTTCTGCCATTTTCATGACATAAAGTTGAAAAATAAGACAGCATGTAATCGAAGGTTGTTTGTTTGTTTTTTAACACCCCTGTGGCTGTTTTTAATCTCCTTCCCTTTCAGCTAGCAAGTTTATTATTGCTTGCTAAAAAGTTAATAACCTTACATAGCAAATTTTAATTGATACTTGCACTGCTTATGTTTAACTTAAAGAAAAAAAAAAGAAATGTAGGGGTGAATTTACAATGATGTGTGATAGTTGGTTCTATAATATGTGAATCACTATAGGAGGAATTGTTACAAATTTCTACCACTGGGTTGAAGCAGCTGCAACATATGCTTCTTTATAAACAAAATGATCATTTCTTTCTGTCCAAAAATTCACAGTTCCCAGTTTAACAAGACTGTCGCATGGAATAAGATGCCACAAAATGTCTAGGATTATTGCTTACTGCCCATCGAGTATGGATAAAATAAAAGAAACATTTAATGGCTCAACAATAGAAAAAGGCAAATATTGGTATTTCTTAGGAACAAGTCAAATTGTACTTAGTAATAGCCACTAATACTAGAAATTATTATTTTTCCGAGGAATGCATCTGCCAGTGGCAAAAATCCACAGTAGTGCATTTCAGGTTCAGGCCATCAATCACATTGACAAGCCACTGCTGGCTTACCAAGTTCTCGGTTTAGTTGAAAGCATACCTATTAGGTAGAACACCAGTAATATCACAGAGGCCTCAGAAATTTATATGAACCTTCTAATGTCCCTACGCACCCCAAAACAAAAGCAAAAAACCCCTCCCGGCCATAGAATCAATTCTGACTCATAGTCACCTGTGGGAATACTGTTTTGTCATGAGGGTCACAGCAGCCTGGTGAGATACAGGTCACATTAGGATGTAGTAGCCACCATGTCTACAGGTTTCATTTCCAGAGGGCAGTGTAGAGCAAATTAGGTGACACTGTGCCCTGGAGGACTCTGGACAGACAAGAGGACATGGGAGGGCTACAAGAGCAGATACCTACACCTCATCCAGGATTGTGGGTTATAGTACCAAAGTGTTTAACTGCCAGAGGGTAGAACTGCCCCTGCCAGTCTTCTCTTCCTTAAAAGGTGAGTGGTAGGTCAAATAAGTTTGGGAACTTTTGACATAGGGTTTATCTGTTGTGTAATTCCCATTTCTTCTATTGCATGTTCTGTTTTAGAGAATGCGTTTTCTTCTTTATTTGTTTTTATTTTCCTATTTAAGTAAATTAACACTTAACATAAACAGGTATGTATGGTTTTTAATGTGTAGGGCTTTTTCTAGGTACCCTGGTGGTGTAGTGGTTACGTGTTGGGCTGCTAACCTCAAGGTCAGCAGTTCCAAACCACTAGCTGCTCCATGGGAGAAAGAGGTTTCTCCTCCCTGAAAGAATTACAGTTTCAGAAACCCACAGGGGCAGTTCTGAAACTCCTGGACTGAAAGTACATGGTCACTGTACGTCAGAACCAACTCCAACGCAGTGAGCTTGGGTTTTGGGAAGGTGTTGTTGTTGTTGTTTTGCTCAAATCATCCTGGTAATTTGTTTCATGTACAAGTGAGAGTTTTACTGACTTGGAGCAGTCTCTTCTTTTCACCATACATAAAATATGACCTAAGAAAAATTAAACTCTTTTTTATCATGATGAGTCTTCATGATTAGAGCCAGTTTTCTTACTGCCTATTATTTTGCTTATAGCTCCCACATTGGTTCAGGTCACAAAGCACCGGAAAGCCATGTTCACTATGAAGAACATAATAGAATATCAGTGTAATTCTGTCCTATAAACTAAGAGTGAGTTTTCTAGCAAAAAAAGCTTGGCTTGTTTCACATAATAGAAAATTATAAATATGAGCTCTACAGGCTCATATTTCTCCCACAGAGTGGCAGATTGGCTTCAATAAGCAACCTTGTGGTGAGCAATCGAACTCTTACCCAACAATATCACCAGGGCTCCTTGTTTTAATAAGCAGCGAACCAAATGGTGTGAGAGTGTATGTGTGTGTGTGTCTAGAATGAGCATCTGAAGATTCCACAGGCTATGGAAAGAAAACTGGAGCATTTTTATTATATGCAATTAATCATGGGTAATATGACCAGGTTTGAATTTAAATTTGAACCAAACAGAGGGGGGTTGGGGGGGAATAGAGTACAAGCTGATTTTAAGAGTATTCTCTAGAATTTTATTGGTTTCCAGTAGTAGGACTATTTTTTTGAAAAGGGAGGCAAAAAGAAGAAGGTAACACACAGACTGAGTAATGGGAAGATTAGATGGTCCAGCAGGTCTGATCACTGCACTGGGCACTCTTCTGTCTTGTCTGTCAAAGTGCGACGTGCTTTTGAAGAAATAAATTTACATATAAATAACCAGGAAAAGGTAGTATATATGGAATATTTGGAATGAATTTTAGAGATTTTTAAACCAAAAATTTAGAATCATCTTAATAATGGCAAACTTTTCTCAAAATGCAGTGTGTAGCTTAACCCTTTCACGAGTGAATTATTTTCTATGTTGATTTTTTTGTTGATACAAAATGTTTACAGCAATAAAAGGCACACTGAAATCAATAGGAGATATAAAAAAACTTTGGGTGGATTTTGATTCAACTAAGGGCAACACACATATCCTAAATAGACTCATGGTGGGTATGGTGAGATGAGCCCTATTTCTTCATATTCACACCATTTTACAGATTCCTGCATGGTGGAACCACATACTATAACTGGGATGGCAGCTTCCTAAGAAATCTGAGAGGGTGAAAATATAGATGGGCTATATATGTTCCACACATCATGAAAGGATTCAATATAGAGCACAAAGGCAAATAGTCTCTTTTTTTAAAAATCATTTTATTGGGGCTCATACAACTCTTATCACAATCCATACATACATCAATTGTGTAAAGCACACATACATTCGTTGCCCTCATCATTCTCAAAATTCGCTTTCTGCTTGGGTTCCTGGAATCAGCTCCTCATTTTCCTTTTTCACCTCCCCCTCCCTCCCCGTTCCCCCCTCCCTCATGAACCCTTAATAATTTATAAATTATTATTTTATCTTATCTTACACTGCCCAGCATTTCCCTTCCCCCACTTTTCTGTTGCCCATCCCCCAGGGAGGAGGTTATATGTAGATCCTTGTGATCAGTTCCCCCTTTCTACCCCCCCTTCTATCCCCCCTTTCCTCCAGGTATCGCCACTGTCACTACTGGTCCTGAGGGGTTCATCTGTCCTGGAGTCCCTGTGTTTCCAGTTCCCATCTGTACCGCTGTGCATCCTCTGGTCTAACCATGTTTGCTAGGTAGAATTGAGTTCATGATAGTTGTGTGGAGGAAGCGTTTAAGAACTAGAAGAAGGTTGTGAGTTTCATTATTGTTACACTGAACCCTGACTACCCCTCTGCAAGGGATATGGCAAATAGTCTCTTAAAATTGATATATCACTTTCCATTCAAATTTAAAGAACTACCAAACCAAATTCTCCATGAATTGTCTTACTGTCTTTCCACCTCTCAAGTTAAAATTTCAAGTACTGTTTATTGTGCTCTTTATAGCGAAACTAGAGAAAAATATTGTATCATATAGCCAGTGAGAGCAGATTAAAATCTCTGCTATGAGATTGCAAACATGTCACAGATATTTTTCATACCCCAGATGGAATCTGGCTGGAATTTTGAGAGTTTAAGTTTGTAATGGATAAAAGAAAGTGTTCATTTTTACAGTGAGAAGTACAGCTTTCAAATTCCTCTCAAGATATACTAACTGAGGTACAGGGGAGGAGGAGACTGGCCCACATACAAGATGCCCAGCATTTTCTACCAGCTACTAGTCAGGAACCTCGAGGGCCAAGAACCAGCCCTAGATCGGTCCCAGATCAATCCCCTGCAATGTCAATGATCAGACTTTGTGGCACCAGCATCCAGGCCCTGACTCAGCTCCTAGCTCAGTACCAGTGACCAGGCTTCAAAGAAGAGCTCTCACCTCACAGGAACCAAGCCTGGCTCAGCTCCCTCATGATGCCAATGAGCAGGCCAGATTGAACCTCCACAATACCAGCATGCCCCCTCTCTTCCCCCACAGCGCTAGCAACAAAGCTCAAGAGTAGAACAACATGGTACTAGTGACCAAGCCCCTATCAGCCACTGCAGCTCCGTGGACCAGGACCAAGTCCCCGAGAGCTCCAGCAAGCAATCTTGACTATGACTTTGCTCCATAAGGCTCACACAGCCAATCTGCCACCAGCCCAGCTGTGCACCTGGCACTATGGCTCACCCAGGTCTTGCAGACTACAGCTCTTGGATCAAGGAAAGAATCCATGTGAACAGACTCTTTTTTCTTTAATTAATAAGTCTTCTCTTTTTTATTTCTCCTCCTCAAAATCCTATTCTTAGATTTGTCTGTTTTTCTTTCATATGAACTTTTCCTTTTCTATATTTTTCTCTGTCTGTTATTCCTCTCTCTTTTATTTCTTTATTCTTCCTTCTCCTTTCTTGTTTATTTTGCTTTGCAGTTTTTGTTATTCTTTTCCAGCATCACCTGACAGAGTCAGTTCCCCCTAAAGGACAGAGCAGCCCTTCCAGCCAGCACTAACAGCTACACCACTAAAGTTGATTGCAGTCCAGCTTTTTAAAGAAGAAGAAGAAAGAAGGAAAAATAAATAAAACATTGGGACAACAACCATATTCAAAGGAATGTTCTGAAGAAAAGACCCTAGAACTACCAGAAATTGATTCCATAAGAATGAAGTTTAGGGACTCTCAACAGGTGGAGGAAAGTTTGAGAGAACAATGGGAAGAATGGGAAACTAGAAATACAACCCCAGAATGGTTTTGCAGAGGATAGATAATAAGATAGCGAAATTTGACAACAGAGCAAAAGAGCAGAGTAACAA